TAATATAAGCATACTTCGGAGATATTGCAGGTTTCGTTCCAGACCGCTGCAACAGTGAATATCTCAATCAAGTGAGTCACATGAATTTTTTGGTTCCCTAGTGCATATAAAAATTATGTCTATACTATACTAGGGTCTATTAAGTATGCAATAGCATTATGTCTAAAAAACATTGTACATATCTTAATTTAAAAACACTTTGTTGCTAAAAATGCTAATGAACATCTGAGCCTTCAGCAAGTCATAACCTTTTTGCAAGAGGAAGGTCTGGCCTAATGTTGATGGCTGCTGACTGATCAGGGTGGTGGTCACTGAAGACTGAAGTGGCTGTGGCAATTTCTTAAAACAAGATGATAATGAAGTTTACCACATTGATTGACTCTTCCATGAAAGATTTCTCTGTAGCATGTGATGCTGTTTGAGAGTATTTTACCCAGAGTGGAACTTGTTTCAAAATTGGAGTCAGTCTTCAAACTCTGCCACTGCTTTATCAACTAAGTTTATGGAATATTCTAAATCTTTTGTTGTCACTTCAACAATGTTCACAGCATCTTTACCAGGAGTAGATTCTATCTTAAGAAGCCACTTTCTTTGCTCATCCAGAAGCTGCAACTCCTCATCATGAGATTTCAGCAGTTTGGTCCCATCTTCAGGCTCTGCTTCTAGTTCTCTTGCTATTTCCACCACATCTGCAATGACTTCCCCTACTGAAGTCTTGAACCCCTCAAAGTAATCCATGAGGGTGAGAATAAACTTCTTCCAATTTCCTATTAATGCTGATATTTTGACCTTGATTGTTCTTAATGGCATCTAGAATGGTGAATCCCTTCCGGAAGGTTTTCAACTAGCTTTGCCCAGATTCATCAGAGGAATCATTATCTATGGCAGCTATAGCATTACAAAATGTATTTCTTATATCATAAGACTTGAAAGTTGAAATTATTCCTTAATCCATGGGTTGCAGAATGGATGTTGTGTTAGCAGGCATGACAATATTCATCTCCTTGTGCATCTCCATCAGAGCTCTTGGGTAGCCAGGTTTATTGTCAACAAGCAGTAATATTTTGAAAGGAACCTTTCTTTCTGAACAGTATGTCTCAACAGTGGACTTAAAATAGTTCATAAACCATATTGGAAACAGATGTGTTGTCATCCAGTCTTTGTTGCCCGATTTATAGAGCATAGACAGAGTATACAAGGTCTCACTCTGCTGCCCAGGCTGGAGTACAGTGGCACAATCATAGCTCCCTACAGCCTTGAACTCCTGGTCCTAAGCAATCCTCCTGCTTTAGCCTCCAAAATAGCTGCAACTACAGGTACACACCATAACACCTGGCTAAAGTTTTTTGTTTGTTTGTTTGTTTGTTTTAATTTTGTAGAGACGAGGTCTCGCTTTGTTGCCCAGGCTGGTCTTGAACTCCTGGGCTTAAGTGATTCTCCCATCTCAGCTTCTCAAAGACCTGGGATTACAGGCTCCTAGCCGCATAATTCCTTAGAGTTTTCAAAATGGTAAATGAGCATTGACTGCAACTTAAAGCCACCAGCTGCATTAGCCCGTAACATGAGAGTCAGCCTGTCTTCTGAAACTTTGAAGCCAGGCTTTGACTTCTCCTCTCTAGCTAAGAAAGTGTTAGATGGCATCTTCTTTTTTAAAGAGGAAGGCTGTTTTATCTACATTGAAAAGCTGTTGTTTAGTGTAGTCACCTTCATAAGTTATCTTAGCTAGATCTTCTAGATAACTTGCTGCAGTGTCTACATCAGTATTTGCTGCTGCATCTTGTACTTCTATGTTATGGAGATGACTTCTTTCCTTAAACTTAATGAACCAACCTCTGCTAGCTTCAAACTTTTCTTCTGCAGCTTCCTGACCTCTCTCAGCCTTCTTCCATGGGGTTGAAGAGAGTTAGGGCCTTGCTCTGAATTACGCTTTGGCTCAAGGGAGTATTGTGCCTGGTTTGATCTATCCAGACCACTAAAACTTTCTCTCTATCAGGAGTAAGGCTGTTTTCTTTCTTATCACTCATGTGTTCACTGGAATAGCACTTTTAATTTTCTTCAGGAACTTTTCCTTTACATTCAAAACTTGGCTGTTTGGCATAAGAGGCCTAGCTTTCGGCCTGTCTCAGCTTTGGACATACCTTCCTCACTAAGTTAGTTTAACAGTTTCTAGCTTTTCATGTAAAGTGAGAGATGTGACTCTTGAACACTTAGAGGCCATCGTAAGGTTATTGGTTGGCTTAATTTCAATGTTGTGTGTCTTAGGGAAGAGTGAGGCAAAGGAGAAGAAGAGAGATGGGGGAAAGCTGGTGGGAGCAGTCAGAACACACACATTTATCAACTGAGTTTGCCATCTTACATGGGTGCGGTTCATGACATCACAAAACAATTACAGTAGTAGCATCAGAGATCGCTGATCACAGGTCACCGTAACAGGTATGATAATAATAAAAATGTTTGAAATAATGTGAGAATTACTAAGATGTGACACAGAGACAGAAAGTTGGAAAACATGCTGTTGGAAAATTGGCACCAATAGATTTGTTTGACATAGGGTTGTCACCAAGCTTCAAGTTTTTAAAAAAGTCATGTCTGCAGAGTGCAATAAAGCAAAGTACAATAAAATGAGGCATGACTGACTATAAAACTTCAGATCTAAACTATCTGAGAACTGGTAGCAACAGTATAACGTAGAGGAAAAAGCATGAGTTCTGGAATCCTGGAGTTATGAATATATCTTTATTTCACCCTCTTTTAGAAAGAAGAGATTTTTCTAGGTACACAATTTCAGGTTGAGAGGTTTGTTTTTTCTTTCTCTTAATATGGTTCCACTTTCTTCGAGCTTCCATTATTACTACTGGGGATTATACAATAAATCTATGCCATTATTTTGCAGGTGATTTCTCTTTTCTGTCTTACTGGTTATAAGATCTCTTTGACTCTATTATTTTTCAGGTTTTCTGAAATGTGTCTAGTAATGAATTTAGTTTTGTTTATTCTGCTTGGTATATGTTGTATCCTCTATCTATGGACTCGTGTTTCTCCTCTGAGAAATTATCTTCAAATATTCACTGTCTTCTCTCCTTCTGGAATTCTGATTAGATGTTTATTCAATTTCTCATTCCATCCTCCATTATTGCTTCATGCCTTTACATATTCTAACTGTTAGTCTTAATAATTTCTTCAGATTTATCTTCTGGTTTACTAATTTTCTCTTCAGCTATGTTTAATCTTCTACTTAAACTCTTTATTGTGTTTTAAAATTCAAAAATTATTTCATCATTTACTAGCTTTGTGGCCTTGGACAAGTGTCTCCACCTCTGTGTGCTATTTTTCTCACCTGTGGAATAGGATAATAATTACCCTTACATGATTGTGGTGGAAATTAAGTAAGTTGATGAACACAAAGCCAGTGATCCATGCTATTATAATAAATCCCCAATAAACATAAGATTCTTACAAATTCCAGAGGTTGGCCAGGCACAGTGGCTCACACCTGTAATCCCAGCACTTTGGGAGGCTGAGGCAGGTGGATCACTTGAGGTCAGGAGTTCAAGACCAGCCTGGCCAACATGACAAAACCCCATCTCTACTAAAAATACAAAAATTAGCTGGGCATGATGGCGCACGCCTGTAGTCTCAGCTACTTGGGAGGCTGTGGCGGGAGACTCGCTTGAACCTGGGAGGTAGAGATTGCAGTGAGCCGAGATTGCGCCACTGCACTCCAGCCTGGGTGACAGAGTGAGACTCTGTCTCAAACAAACAAATAAACAAACAAACAAACTTCCAGAGGTTGTTCTGATGATTGTATGAACCTCCATGATTCTGATTCTAATTCATCTCAGAGAACTAAGAGTCTTCTCTTAGAATCACCTGGAACAAACTTCATAAACACTTCAGAAAGCCTTTATCATATCTCACAACCCATAAAGAAGTAGACATTTTCTGTTGTTTCTAATCCCATTATGCTACAACAGGATCTCATGTCTTTGTGTCTTCTTGTCCTTAAAAGGAAGATGACCATGGCCCCTCTGTTCCCTCGCCTATATGCCAAACGGATCCACAGCTAGAGACAAGCTCCTTCCCTTTGAACAGTGGGAAGCAGGCCAAGATGTTTTAAAGACAGATGGAATCAGCTGCAGAGAAGCAAGGTTAGACTTGATTCGTCTAAATCTGTCCCCTTCAGGGCCCCCTCCTACACCCTTCCCCTGACAACTGAGTGATAAAATTCTGTCCCTGGATGAAGTCAACAATCCTTATCATGACAGAAAACTGCAAATATTTGGTGTTTTTCCATTACACACAGGGCTTAAGGGAACATAGGGAATCTCAAAACAGAAATGTGTTTGGGTGTGTGTGTATGTGTGTGTGTGTTCAATCCTCTCTTCAAAATATTTCAGCTCCTCTATTTTTAGAAGACGATGACATTCTCCCAGCATTTCAACCAGGTTTTCAGAAGTCACGAGGCTCAGTCCTGCACGCACACAATCACATCTGCCTATACAAAGACACAGACAGAGAAAAACATACACAGCTACTCACACATAATTTCATACACGTTTAAAACCCAGGCATCTAGAAAATGACACTCACATATGCCCATCTACACACATACATGTATACCTGCATCTGGGTTCACAACGGACCACACCCTAACACGTCCATACACATACACACCACACTGTAACACATAATGTGAATAAATAGAAACTAGTGAATAGAGCTATTTCTGCAGTGTCCCTCGGCATATACTAACATGAAGTGCATGTGCAAAGTGCATCTTGCTTGTGGTTAATTCACCATCAGATTTTAGGGTAGACAAACACCTATTTTCAGGGCATGTCAGAAATCTAGCTGAATTCCTAAACCTGCTAGGTTCCCCATCTCCTTCTTCTGTCCTTAGCCCTCAAGTGAAATGACCTAACTTCAAATGGACTCAAGGGTGGGGGTTATTTCAGCTCAGAACAGGAGATCCTTGAACATGGGCCCTTGACAGGGTCCATGAGGCTAGGCAATGTCTACTACGAAAAGAGAAATAAATAGCTCCACCATTGGAAACAAGTGTCCAGAAAGCTGCAAGTTTATCCTGTACTAGAGCCAATGAACAACCAGGTGCTGATCACATCCCCGGGGAAGCGGGGAGGGCGATGCAGGCACAGATGGGGTCCTGTTGTAGGAGAGAGACCGGAGGGCAGGAAGGGAGGAAAATCTGAATCCATAAGCTTTCGCTTTATGCAAACCAGACTCATAAGTTTTCTTTATTTCAGCTGGAACTCACAGCACAGCTGCTTTATTTACTTACCTACTGGCTGCATTTCTGAGAACCAGTTTTATTCCTGTTCAAAGGAAGCCAGGCAGAGTTGGGAAAATATTTTCCTAGCCAGCTCCTTAGCACTGCTGTCTGAGGGAAACCATCTGGCCAAGATGCCCTTCAAGTGAGTAAATGCAGTATTGCCCTCTCCCTGCACAGAGGAGGGGGCATGAACTGGACAGGGAAAATGGCAGGCTCCTAGGGTGGGCTGAAGCTGTGGTTATTCCAACTGACCCTTCTGGGCCCCTGGGGTCCAGTGATATGCTGGTAAAGGTTTAACAATCAGCTGTCTGGGAGGTAGGGGTGGGGCATTGCCTTGCAGTGTTTGCTGATTTCCATGGCCTGTTTGGAACTACCTAAGTGAAGTCACTGAGTGTGGGGGTAGGAGGGGATGCCCAGGAGCATCCCATTTCATAGTATTTCTACCATGTACATGCAGTAGGGGGTATGTAACCTCAAGAGGGAAGATACTAATCAATACAGTAAAATAATTAGCAAGTGATGAGTTCTGAGTATTTATTACCTTTATTTTTAATGTGATATAATTTTAAATTTATATAATTTATTTTCAAATGACGTATGCCTCTAACAACTGACTCTCAGAGTTCTGGAAAATTTCACTGTCAGTTCTTGCGAGACAGGATGGGCTGGCTCTGGAGCACTGCTGTTGGAGTCCCTCTTTTACTTAGAGAATAAATGTGCAAGTGTTAAAATCACTCCCTTTAGAAGCCCAGGCCGTATCATGGGAGATTTAGTGAGGGCTCTATTTCCTTAAGGAGATTCTGTCTTCAGAAGGCGGAATAGACACCTGCTTGGAAAAGAACAGAGGTTGAAAAACACCATGAACTTTTTTTTTTTTTTTTTGGTTCTACCCACCATGTGTACTTGACCAAGACAACAAGGCACACAAGTCGCAGGTTCTGCCTTGCCTGGGTAGCTCCTGACTGTATATGCTTCAGCTTATAGAGTCAAAACAACTTGGCAGCATCTAGCTTGGTTCCTCTGGGACCCTTGTGCTCTAAGGATAGTTCTCTGGCTGCAGTTCCCTGGCATTTTCCAGGTCTTGAGCTCCAGCCTCTTGACCAGGTTAGCAGGATGGTGCCAGAGGGTCTGTGGGCATAAGATTTTCCATTATTTCCTACACCCTGTCTAGAGGAGTTGGGATATTTCTTGTCTCCCAGAACTCTCTCATGGGAAAAACTCTTATATGAGAGAGAGAACATTTTACCCAACTGGAGTCAGGGAAAGTTACGCATCTGACCTCCGAGCTTCTGAAAAATCACTGAGCTTTCTCAAAAGCACACAGGTCCAGAAGTGGAAATTTATAGGACAAAGGAAAATAGGAAATGAAACTTGGAGGGGAAACCCTCTTAGTGTTGTTGCAATGCCAAGAACTGGGGGAGGGTTTACGGCTGTACTAGTTTGCTGAAGGATGAACAGGACACACCAGGGACCAGAGGGTCAGAACAACAGATAACCAGAAATGAAGAGGTCAATGGGTGGGAAAGTGGGAGTGAATGGTGTTGATAGATTTGTTTCTCCCATTTTAGGGTTGTTCTGTAATTGCTGCCTATAGTCACAATCACACCTACAATTCTTCCTACTCATTAAGAACTTTGCTGCCCTAGCCCTGAAATTTTCCTCCTGTCTTCACTTCCTTCCCAACCCAGTATAGATTCTGTGGCCCTTCATAACCACCCTTTTGGGCATATCCTGGTCTTCCTCCAACATACTTTCCCAGCAAAACCCTAACCTTATGTAGATCCAGCTCTCTGCTCATTCTGTACCACTCCAGGCAAGCAAACGTGGCCAGAGGAAAACCACAACCGTGTGGACTGATTCTACCCTGAATACAAGATGATACATCTCTAACGAGGCTCAGAACTGCCTGTAAGTTCAGCTACACTTCCCTAGTCAATCCACACCCTCGATCCCCAGCTACAGTGGACGAACAGCCCCTACTCCTATTGAAGCAGCTCCCCCACCCCCCACCCCCACTTAAACATTGGATCGATCCCATCTACTTCTGTCTACTTAGGACCTTTGGTCCTGCTGATATCCCCTCTCCCTCTTGAAACGTCAGTTATTTCCTTTCCACTGAATCAAAACTCCAAATTTCTTAGGACATTTAAACTTCTCCTCTCTCTCAGCCCTTGTCTGCATCAGGCCAGGCGCTGCAGTGGGGAATTATGGATGGTGATGAACTTCGTCTGTTTCCCGGCTGTGTGCATCTCTTCCTCCTCCTCTTCTCACTAGGCTGCCTCTCGTCTTCTGGGGCTGCTGCTCTGGGAGAGGGAGGAGATGCAAGGAGCAGGAAAGGTCTTGCTTGGCTGGTACTGTTGTAGGATAGTACAGAGTTTTCTGGCTGTGGCCAGTGTTTAAAGCTGACTTTCTTCTCTTGGGTCTTACATAGGTTTCTTACACAGGGGTTGGTCTCCTCTGCTGGCAACTTCCTTGATACTGACCCTGCCTTTCCTCCTGCTCTCCATTCATCACTCCCTCCTTAGCGCCTAGGCATCCTTTAGTCCACAGCATACAGACTCTTTTTAGGACCCCACTATTCCTCCAGGCAGGCTATATGAACAGCAGCCCCAGGCCACTATCCCTTGCTGGGCTCTCATCAGCAATTTGGTCCTACTGTCATGGGATTACGGCTACTTCCCAACACAGCAGTCTTTACTTGGCTGTGCCCAGGCAGACAACCAGCCACAGCTTCTTGCCTTCATTACCTTTGCAGGCATGGGTCCAGCTCCAGTCGCTTATTTCTATTATGGTGACCAAGTGGTTCCTTAAAGCCCCAATCACTTGTTTTCATGTGAAGGGCAGGCTTCTTCCCCACAACATTTTTCCATCTTTCTCCAAGGAAATCAAGTTCTGTCTCTCTTCACCTACTCCCCACTTTCCGTCTCAACCTTTAACACTCTTAAGTGCTAGATGTGCTCAGGGTTGTAAAGTGGGTTTTTTGATATCTCAATTGTGTGTCCTTTGTAGATGTTTAACCCTAACTCTGGAATGCGGGCTCATTTTGCACCTATCACTTTGTGCCAAGCCTTTGGACTCTCCTTCAAAACTGAGGAAGAAAGAGTTGTGTGTTAGCATCTTGTTTCACACATCCATATCCACCCATGGCTATCTCCACAACCCACAAATTTGGTTGGCTTCTTCACCAAATACTTCTCTCTAGGAATGTTCCTCCAGCACTCCTGACTCATTGAGCCTAGGCTGGAGTGCAGTGGCATGATCTTGGCTGACTGTAACCTCTGCCTCCCGGGTTCAAGCCATTGTCCTGCCTCAGTCTCCTGACTAGTTGGAATTACAAGTGTACACCACCACGCCTGGCTAATTTTTGATTTTTAGTAGAGATGGAATTTCACCATGTTGGCCTGGCTGGTCTCGAACTCCTGACCTTACACAATCCACCTGCCTCGGCCTTTTAAGTGCTGGAATTACAGGTGTGAGCCACTGCCCCTAGCCCTCTTCCTGACTTTAAAGTTTTCATTGTAATTTTCTTTTCTTCTCTTCCTCTGTTTTTTTAAAATGAATATTTTATTTTATGATTTGTTTATGTAATAGCCAGCATGAAGGGTGGGTGCAGGGACGATGGCAGGAGGAAGAGGCCACACTGCACAGCAGAATGACAGACCTCTCCCTGCTGTCCTCCTGAGTCACCCTGCAGTCCCACTCAGAGCTTTCTGCAGTAGGCAGTCGTCTTGCTTGGGGGCAGCCAGCATCTTTTGTGCACGCTCTCTGACATCTTTGGTGTAAGGGTTTTACTCTCCATACTTGTCATCTTGGTGTTATAAAATCCAGAATGCTCTTCCTCTGAGTATCACGTCCATGTTCTGGGCAGAAAGAAGGAAGATAGAGGAAGGGGTGGAGTCTGTGTCAGAAAAGCACAAGCTTCCACCATAAATTCCCAGCACTCTTCTGCTTGTGTTTCATTCACCGGAACTGTGCGTGCATCCCTAGCTCTAAGGGAGTCTAGGAAAGTGAGAATAATAGAAAACTCCCTAACTTTGTCAAAGCCTTCCATTTCGTTTGTTTTCAGATAATCTCAAATGTGTAGTAAAGTTGCAAGTATAGTACAAAAATCTTTATTCCCCCTGAACGGCTGAGAGTAAGTCGCCAACCAATGCCCCAGCACCCCTGAAAAATTTTATGTGTATGTCCTACAAACAAGGATGTTCTCCTGCATGCTGCATAGCTGCAATACAACCATGGAAATCAGGAAATTAACACTGGTATAGTATTACCTGTTAATCCCCAGAGCCCATTCCTGTTTTGCCATTTGTCCCAAGGATCTCCTTTATAGCAAAAGTATCCAGTTTGGAATTCTGTGTAGCGTTTGGTTGCCATGTCTCTTTCATCTCTTATGTCTGGAACAGTTCCTCAGTCTTTCCTTGACATGACCTTGACACTTTTAGATTAGAGGCTGGTTATTTTATATAATAGATGTCCCTTGGTATGGGTTTGTTTGTTTTCTTCTGATTAGATTCAGGTTGTGCCTCTTTGGAAAGACGATCACAGGAGTGGTCTGGGTTCCCATTGCATCTTAGCAGGTGGAGCTCAATTCCAGTTTGTTCCATTACTGAAGATGTTTGCTTTATTACTTAAACTGGTGTCTGCTGGGCTTCTCACTGTAACATTTTCCTTTTCCCTTTGTAACTAAAAAGAATCTTGCAGGGCAGTACTTCAAAACTATTCAAATATCCCACTTCTCATCAACCGTGGAATTTACTCATTTATTTATTTAGGTTAGTTGAGACCAGGGGTCAGCCGTTTTGTGTAAAGGGTCAGATAATAAATATTTTAGGTTTGTGGTCCAGGGGGCAAAATCAAGGATAGTATATAGGTACTTTTACAACAAAAAATTTAAAAAATTTTGCAAAATTGTTATTGATGAAATTAAAACTGTAATAATTACCGAATAAATTTTTTTTAATGCAGGTCTACTAATAAGAGAGGAACTCTTTTGTGAGGGTAAGATTTGACTTAATTTGGGTTCAAAGGGAGTGCTCCCTATTATCAAATTGATTGGGAATGTTCCTCCATAAAAACCATCTTTGGCTGGGTGCAGTGGCTCACGCCTGTAATCCAATAATTTTGGGAGGCCAAGACAGGGTGGATTGCTTGAGCTCAGGCGTTTGAGACCAGCCTGGCCAACATGGTGAAACCCTATCTCTACTAAAAATACAAAAATTAGCTGGGTGTGGTGCTACGTGCCTGTAGTCCCAGCTACTTGGGAGGCTGAGGCAGGATAATTAATAGATTGAACCCAGCAGGCAGAGGTTGCAGTGAGCCAAGATCGTGCCAATGCACTCCAGTCTGGGTGATAGAGGGAGACTCCGTCTCAAAAATAAAATAAAATAAAATAAAATTGTATTTTGAAATAGTTATAACCAATTTCCCATCCCTGTTACTGCCCCTGCACCATGTTGATGGCCTCCTCATCTGGCTTGGGCTCTGATATCCTCCAATGGGCCACTCTTGTATGTGGACATCTTGTCTCCCTGTGGAGGCTCTGTAAAAGGTGCAAGCCACCCTTTTACACCCATGTAGATGCCTTAGCATCTCACACTCCATGACAATCTACTCTCCCCTGTGTGAATGGCCCTGCCCTGTTCAGGCTGTGACTCACCATTACAAACCATCCCTCTCTGTGGATGCCAACTTTCCTCTGCCTTCCTAATGGCTTCAGGAAGGGAAGGCTACTTTTTTTTTTGGTACGGAGTCTAGCTCTGTTGCCCAGGCTGGAGTGCAGTGGTGCAGTCTCGGCTCACTGCAAGCTCCGCCTCCTGGGTTCAAGCAATTCTCCTGCCTTAGCCTCCCAAGCAGCTGAGACTACAGATGCCCAACACCACACCCGGCTAATTTTTTTTATGTTTTTAGTAGAGACAGAGTTTCACCATGTTAGCCAGGATGGTCTTGATCTTCTTACCTTGTGATCCGCCCGCCTCAGCCTTCCAAAGTGCTGGAATTACAGGGGTGAGCCACTGCGCCCGGCCATGGAAAGGCTACTTTTAAAAATCTCTATAATTTGGTTGGGTGTGGTGGCTCATGCCTGGGAGGCCGAGGTGGGTAGATCACGAGGTTGGGCATTCCAGACCAGCCTGGCCAACATGGTGAAACCCTGTCTCTACTAAAAATACAAAAATAAGCCCGGCAAGGTGGCGCCTGCCTGTAGTCCCAGCTACTTGGGAGGCTGAGGTAGTATAATTAATAGATTGAACCCAGCAGGCAGAGGTTGCAGTGAGCCAAGATCGTGCCAATGCACTCCAGTCTGGGTGATAGAGGGAGACTCCGTCTCAAAAATAAAATAAAATAAAATAAAATTGTATTTTGAAATAGTTACTCAGATTTTTTTAAGAAATAATAATTGCTAATGCTCTTGGTGCTTACTAGGTACTAGGCATTGTAGACACTTTAAACTGAGCTTGTGTAATCTTCACAGCCTCTGTAGGAAGTTGTATAATTATAATCTCTATTCATAGGTGTGGAAACTGAGGCACAAAGAAGTTTAGTGACTTGTCAAGGTCACACAGCTCATGAGTGATGGAACCAGGACTTGGATTCTTTTTGCGCTTTTTCCATATTTCAATGTATAGCTTTAGCTTATTCTTTTACATTGCTGTACAGTATAATATTGTATGAATATACCTCAATATAATTATATTCTTGTTGGTGAACTTTTAGTTTTACAATTTTTCACTATTAAAAGCATTTGAAATAAACATTTTTTGTCTCCTTATGCAATTGTATGATTTTCTTTAAAATATCTATCTAACAGAAGAATAAGCTATGTGCATCTTCAGCTTTATTAGATAGAGCCAAATTTCTCTTCCAAAATGGTTTTACCAGTTTACATTCCAACCAGGGGTGAATGAGTTCACATTTTTTCACTTTCTTCCCAGTGTCCAGTACTGTCAGACTTTAAAAATTTTTCAGTATGATGGGTATAAAGACTCATTAATATTCTGAGTTACATGCTCCTGATTAATAGTAAATTTAAGAATCTTTCTGCTAATATACAGGATTTGGAGTTTTCTCTTTTGTGAATCACTTGTTTATATTATTTGTCAGTTTGTCTACTGGATGTATGCTTTTCTTACTGATTCTGAATAGGTAGTGGGTTGGTTTTTTTTTGTTTTTTGTTTTTTGGTTTTTTTTTTTGAGACTGAGTCTCACTCTGTCGCCCAGTTTGGAGTGCAGTGGCATGATCTTGGCTCACTGCAAGCTCTGCCTCCCAGGTTCACGCCATTCTCCTGCCTCAGCCTCCCTAGTAGCTGGGACGACAGGCATCTGCCACCAAGCCTGGATAATTTTTTTTTTTTTGTATTTTTAGTAGAGATGGGGTTTCACCGTGTTAGCCAGGATGGTCTCAATCTCCTGACCTCGTGATCTGCCCACCTCAGCCTCCCAAAGTTCTGGGATTACAGGTGTGAGCCACCATGCCCGGCTGATTCTGAATAGTTTTTTATATGAGTACAAATATTTTATTCAGTTGCAAATAATTTTCCGTCTTACGTGGCTTGTCTTTTCATTTAGTAGATGGTAATTTGTTGTACAGAAGATTATAATTTTAAGTCAGTCAAATTGATTGCTCTTTTATAGCTTACATTTTCCATATATTGTTTAAAAATTTATTCCCTACACAAAAGGCATAAAGATAAATCTATATTTTCTTCTAAAAGTTTAAAGTTTTGCTTTTGAAACATTTAGGTGTCCACTCCACCTGAAATTTATTTTTGTGAATGCTATGAGGTAAATATCTAATTTTATTTTTTTCCATATGGATACCCAATTGTCGCTGCCTCATTTATTTAGAAGTCCATCCTTTCCCCGTTGGTTTAAGAATGCCACCTCTGTTGTTTATCAAGTTTCCACATATGTGTGGCTCTGTTTCTGGGTTCTCTAATCTGTTCTGCTTGACTGTTTGTCTATCCCTGTATGAATACCACATTCTTAACTACAAAAATCATTTTATAACAAGTCTTCATATTTGATAGGGCAAAACTCCCTTCCTCTGTCATGGCTAGCTTTGGCTGTTTGCGTTTCCATATTATCTATAATCAGTTTGTCAAGCTTTTTGTTTCCTAGGAGTCTCACTCTGTCACCCAGGCTGGAGTGCAATTGTGCAATCTCAGCTCACTGCAACCTCTGCCTCCCCAGTTCAAGTGAATCTCCTTCCTCAGTTTCCCAAGTAGCTGGGACTACAGGCATCCGCCACCATGCCCAGCTAATTTTTATATTTTTTAGTAGAGATGGGGTTTCACTATACATTGTTCAGGCTGTTCTCGAACTCGTGATCTCAAGTGATCCACCCACCTTGGCCTCCCAAAGTGCTGGGATTACAGGTGTGAGCCACCATGTCCGTCCTGTTTCTTAGCTTTTTACAACTGTGTTGAAGTATAATTGACGGACAAAAACTGCACATTTTTAACATGCACAATTTGATAAATTTTGACATTAATATATACCTATAAAATCATCAGTACAATCATGTAAATGACCATACCTCTGACAGACAGACTATAAGAGGACCCCCAGTTGTCCCCCCTCCACGTGGTATCCATGCCCTGTGAACACCATTGTGTGGGCAGGACCCATGGCTTTTTTCTAACCAAATGAATAAATCACTGCTGTGATTGTGTTATATAAGAGTGCAGTTTGCATCTTGCCAGTAGACTCTCTCCCTTGCTGGCTTTGATGAAGCAAGCTGCATGCTGTGAGCTGCCCTATGGGGATGCCCACATGGCAAAGAAGTGAGCATGGCCCCTGGCCAATAGCCAGTGAGAAACTGAGGCTCTCAGTCCAACAACCCACACGGAACTGCACCCTGCCAACCATCATGTGACCTTGGACGCAGATCCTTCCCTAGGAACGCGCTGAGATGAGTCGGCAGCCTTGTGAGGAACCCTAGAGCAGAGCACCCCGCTAAGCCATGCCTAGATTGCTGACCCCTAGTAATTTTGAGATGACAATTGTGTGTTGTTTTAGACAAATTTGTCGTAATCTGTTGCGCAGCAATAAAAACCAGTACAATATAAATTACTCCCAAAAGTTTTATTATGCCTCTTTGTAATCCACCACACATTTTTCCCCCTGACCCCATCTCCAGGCAACTGCTTGTCTGTTTTCTGCTACTATAATTTAATCATCTGGAATTTTACATAAATGGACTCATACAGCATTTACTTTTTAAAAAATTAATTTTACTTTAAGTTCCAGATATATGTGCAGAAAGTGCAGGTTTGTTACATAGGTATACATGTGCCATGGTGGTTTGTTGCACCTGTCAACCCATCATCTAGGTTTTAAGCCCATATGCATTAGGTATTTGTCTTAATGCTCTCCTTCCCCTTGGCCCCCACCCCCCAACAGGCCCCAGTGTGTGTTGTTCCCTTCCCTGTATCCATGTGTTCTCATTGTGCAGCTCCCACTTATGAATGAGAACATGCGGTGCTTGGTTTTCTGTTCCTGTGTTAGTTTGCTGAGAATGATGGCTTCCAGCTTTATCCATGTCCCTGCAAAGGACATGAACTCACTCTTTTTTATGGCTGTATAGTATTCAATGGTGTATATGTGCCACATTTTCCTTATCCAGTCTATCACTGTTGGGCATTTGGGTTGGTTCTGAGTCTTTGCTATTGTAAATAGTGCTGCAATAAACATACATGTGCATGTGTCCTTATAGTAGAATGATTTATGATCTTTTGGGTATATACCCAGTAATGGGATTGCTGTGTCAAATGGTATTTCTGGTTCTAGGGTATGTAGTAGTATCTCTTTGTGATTTTAAATGCATTCGCCTATTGGCTGATGATACTGAGCATCTTCTCATGTGCTTATTTGCCATCCATATATCCTCTTTGGTGAGTTGTTTCTTCAAATCTTTTCCCATCTTTTAATTGGGTTGTTTGTCTTCTTATTGAGTTTTAAGGGTTCTTTATATTTTCTAGATACAAGTCTTTTTTTCAATAT